TGTCAGCGTTTCGCGCTTGACACAAAAGGTACTTTGTCAAAAGCGAAACGTTGTCCACCAACTATAACTACCGGTTTTTACATATCGTGAAATTTCTCCGAGACAACTTTCTATGGCTATTGGTATAAGGCATTTGTCTTGTACTTTATAGGTCGCGTGTTCGAATTTACTGAGATGTGAGATAGCTCACATTTTCTTCTAATTATGCCCCGTATCCCAATGGTTGGCATTTATCTCGAGTGCTTTTACCGTGACCGGCGTTTTTTTTCGATACGTGTTCTGCGCCATTCTGGGCTCCAAGGTTTTTGTGAGCTTCGCCAGTACACCAGTGATTCATTCTAATTTGTCGTTGTTACGCAACCACAAGCAGCGACACTAGGATCGGAATATTACCCTAACGAGGATGTCGGGTTTGTAAGCAAACAACCCAGTCCGGAGGGCAACCAGACATATAGCTTCCTAGTTCCGAGTGCTGTACACAACTACCATGATGCCCAATCTCATGCAAGAACCGGGACTCAAAGCTGCGCCTTTTAAATGACGTATTTTACTGCACTCCCAAATACCCCAGAGATGTGGGACTCTTTCCCACAGTTCGATCAAATGTTTACTCAGCTCTGTGTCTTCGACGCATTCAGTGGTTTTACGTCTCTCGAGCACCACTTGGTATGGCACTTCGATGCATTGTTGGATGTTACTTTTCGCATTCGGTGAACCTTTCTAGGTGTGCCTCGTTCCATCGAAAATTTATTTATTAATTTAATTACGCTCCCAACTCCATCGCAATGAGGCTGGACCTTACCGTGGTGCGATGATTTGTGTGCCTCGGTGATCCATTGAGGTAATCTGTGTGGTGCTTTTGCACCTTCAGAGTCACTCATACCAGATTAGTCGATGGTTAGAGGCCAGACAAACTCAGCCAATTGGTCCTCCAGGTTGGGGGTTGGAATGAGGGAGGCACCTTATTCCTTAAAACGGCTTTCTTGTATCCTATCACCAAACCCGCTGCCTTGCGGTAAGGTTTTTGAACCAAAGGCTTTGGTTGAGAATCCTAATCGTTCTCCTGTCTAGGCCAAAGCGACCTGACAGTATCCTGCCCAGGCAATCCAATGGATCTCTCTTCAGACAAATTTCTGATGGTCTGGCCAACGCAGAGGATAATCAACGGTTCCCTATCTGCTGCATCGAGCAGGGTGGATAGGGGTTTGGATGCTGCTGCCCAAGCCTTCCCGTCTCCTTATTCCCCTTCTTACGCTTTTTCTCCCTTATGGTACTGTTCCAACTTCACTTTTATCCCCGTTTTTAACCTTCTGACTCATGGCCCTCCCCCAACATCCTTTTCTAGACGTTTGTCTTCCAATTTCAACTTACATGTGAACGCGCAGCGTCACTCCTGTCCTGCCGACAAGCTTATGTCTAATCAAGCGGTCCATCCAGTTCATCGGCTTCCATTTGGAGCCCTCGATCCTCCTTCAGATTGGCACGCCTCAATGTACGCACTTTGCTACAGATCGATCAACAAGCAGCACTTGCCCGAACAATAGAGACCCTCTCGATCGATTTCTGCTGCTTATCGGAAACCCGCCTGCAACACTCGAGCTCAGTGCTCACTTTGCGATTTCCTTCAGGTGACACAAGCAGTGTTTTCTCATTGCGCCTATCCGGTGACGATGCAGCTTCGAGCACCGATCAAGCTGATGTTGGGATTACCCTGAGTCCCCGGGCTGAAGCTGCTCTGCTTGATTGGATTCCACTCCATAGCCAGATGTGTGCGGTCCGATTGGCTGGCTCGTTCAAAGCGTCGAAGCCGCGCGGAACTAACTGGAGTCTATTCGTCATCACTGACTATGCAGCTACAAACTGTAGCTATGATTCGGTACAACACGACTTCTACCGTCTAACTGACAGTTCTTTCGACACCGAAGAAGCTCGGGCATTGTTGTGCTGGCTGGGGATCTGAACGCACAAGTTGGAAAGTTGTCCACTGATGAAATGCCTCTAGGTGATCAGCGCGGTGTAGGCTCCCGTAATGATAACGGTGGGCGGTTACTTCATTTGTGTGAAGAGGCCTGCTTATTTGTTGCGAACACTAATTTCCGACACAGCACCCGCCGGAAAATGACTTGGCGCCCACCAGTCTCGAACCAGCTATGGATGCAAATTGATCACATTGCGATAAGCTGCCGATGAAGAGGCTGCATCCAAAACCGTCGCTCGATTTGGAGCACATGTTTTGACAACGACCATGCACTTGTATGTGCTGACCTGCGGATGCGTTTTGGCGGACACCCAAGACAACGTTATGAGCGTATAACACCAGCCCACTGGCGAAACCAGTTGTTCTGAATGCCTATCAAATTACGCTATCATCCGAGTTGAGTAAGCGCTCACTGGATGCAATTGAAGCTCACCGGTCTCATTTTCACCAGACCTTACTGGCATCAGGAAAATTCTCATGTGGTAAGTCTAATAACCAACATGGACATTGGGTCTCTTTGCGGTCTCTGCAACTGATCGATGCTCGCCGGCATATTCCGGCTGGAAGCAAACACAATGAAACTCGCAAATAGCTCCTGGCAAAACTTCGTGCTAGTCTGAAGAGAGACCCCAAATCTTGGTGGTCTCTTCGTGCGTCAGAGATGGAAGTGGCCACTGTCCTTGTTAACCATCGTAACTTATTCTGTCTGATACGGTAAACGGGCAGCATGAGACCTGGTCTTAGTGAAGTTATACGTGACGGGAGTGGACAGCCTATGCACAATTTGTCGAAACGTTTAGGGCGTTGGGCTGAGCATTTTGGAAAGCAATTTAATCGGCCGGAATTGTTCGATTCCTCGCCGGTCAGTGATCGCCCTGCTCCGTGGGCTGTCCCTTTTGATCCGCCCTTTCGCTCAGAAGTCAAACGTGAGATCGGACTGTTGAAGTTGAACAAAGCCACAGGGCCAGGTTATCTTACTCTGTTCCTCTTCAAATTCGGGTACTCCGCTCTTGTTGCTGATTTACATTAGTTACTAGTGAAACTGTGGGAGCAGGAAACTGTCCCAACCGACTGGAGCCACTCCGTCATAGTCCCAATTTTCAAGGGAGGCTCACGATCGGAATGTGGCAATCGTAGAGGAATCAGTCTGATCTCCATCACCAAATTACTCGCCTCCATAATCATTCACAGACTGACGGGCGCTCATGAAAGCCAGATTCGTGAGGCGCAAGCGGGTTTCGTCGAGGTCTTGGCTGCATTGTCCACATCGTCACCTTGCATCAGTTGTTTGAGCACATTCCCACATAATGGCGCCCCACTGTAGTCGTGTTCCTCTTCATCCATGGTTCATTGGTTTCGGTGGAGAGACGTACACTTTTGGAATTTTCTACTCAGGTAATGTGGTCCCGAGAAATATGTAAATATTATCCGAGCATTATACGCCCGTAGCACGGGCAGAGTGAGGGCTTATAAGGAGCTGTTGCTGCCCTTCAATATCTCCAGCTGTGTGAGACAAGGATTCTCGCTGTCACCATTCCTCTTCAACTTCGTTATTGATGAAGTCGTGGAAGTCATGCATTTACAGGATTGACTTAGAAGGTCTGCAGCTACACCCAGGAGAACGACTTCTTGACTTGGAGTATGCTGACGATATTGCCCTCATTTGTGACAGCTCCCATACCTGCGAAGCTGTACTGGACATATAAGCACTGGCTGTCAGCCGCTTCAGGCTTTGCTTTTCACCATCGAAGTGCAAACTTTTCCTCCAAGATTGGCAGGGATCACCTCCTGCGCTTACCCTTGGTGGGGATCAACTAGAAATCATTCAACAATTCAACTACCTGGGCAGTTGTATCAGCGCCCTTGGGATTGAAAATGAGATCACGAACCGTATATCAAAAGCTCGGAGCGCTTTTGCTAGTCTCCGCCACCTATGGCGGCGGAGCGACATCACCCTTGCCCTGAAGGGTAGAGTCTACAATGCGGCGGTACGTTCGACCTTACTGTATGGTTACTAAGCCTGGCCCCTAAATTCAGCGAACATAAAGAGGCTAGTTACGTTCGACCATCGGTGCCTTCGCAGTTTGGTTCACGTCTGGTAGGAACACCGCGTGAGCAACGAGCGTGTTCGATGCCTTGTTTAGAGCACAGGAAAAGGAAATGAACCGCTCAGCACCGTTATTTCACGCAGCAGGCTCCGATGGCTCGGCCACGTGTTACACATGCCAGCCCACCGATTTCCGCGACGTGCGTTGTTTCCTCACCGTGGGTGTGGATGGACGAAGAGGATGGGTGGCCAAGCGATGACTTGGTCCAGAGGAATGAACGTCCTCACTTCGGAGCTGGCCTCGGTTGGAGCGTCACGGCTGGTTGGAGTCCAAAAGGCGATGAACACGTTTGGCTAGATACACTTGCTGACATGGCAAGAAGCCGACCTCAGTGGTGTTCCTGCTGTGTGTTTCTTTGTCCCTCCCCATCCTCTTTAGCGTCCCCCTCCAACCACGATCTCATTTCGTAGCGTAATATAATTTTACTTAAAATATTTTCTTGTTGCCTAGTAACCCGCTGGTAGCTTACCGGAACAATACCCATCCGTTGTTGGTAGCTCAGCTAGCATACAACTGTTGTATTTATTTATTTTTTCTTTTATGTATTGCGGTACAGTAGCTAAGGTGTTTCCCACCTTCTGCTAACTTGTATAATGATGATGATGCTCCCAACTCGATATGACAGTTTCATTGGCGACTGATTTGCTAACAGGGAAAGATAATGGTGGTCGGTTAGTTCTAACTGCCACTTTTATCTTACGCATTATGCTTTGCTAGACTGTTAACTGTCAGTGCGATTAGAATGAGGATGCCACATGGATAAGCTGTATTTTTACTCTTCTCTTCTACACCTTCCATGCTTAATCCCATATTACTAATCATCCAGTATTCACGTGTTGTTTTGATTCTCAAACCTGCATTGTTTGTTGCATACTCTTACATCACGCACTCTTTTACTCTCATCACGACTCCAGACACGATCCCCCGGTGATTCATTTAGACCAAACAAGGAAGAGGAGAAGGAAAATCAAAATCCTTCCGCTTTATCTGAGCAGAGCATCAGTGGCGTGCTCCTTAAACATCCCCACCTAGATTCCATCAGTTCCAAGTGCAGTTATTTCGCTTCCAGTTTGGAATCCTCGTCCAATCCTTCCATCGAAGTCGCTCCGTCGACTATCAGGCGCTTGCGTTCGCGAGTTATTACTGCACCTGCGATACACACCTCTGAGCATGCCTCAGATCATCGGGACAGGATTGAACTTGGCGTCGTATCTGGCACCAGGTGAATCTATTCACGGTTTTGTTTACCTTTTATTTACTTGGGTTACTATCCTTCCCGCCAGTATCTGCTTAATCCAGTTGATCCGATTGTTGTTGCATTGACAATTACGAGCTCAGTTCTCCTTCTTCTTCCCACTCTTCACAATCAGCTTTATGATCAGCGGCACGTAGACATTTTGTGACTACAGTCGATATATGTTACTGCAACAGTAGTAGTATTAATAGTTGTAATTGTGGTAGTAGTTGACATCACCCGTTGATTGTTCTACACTCCCTGTAGCGCTTTACAACAGTGTGGCCCTTTCCCATTCTCCGATGGACTCTATCTCCTAAAGATTCGCGGTAGTACAATCATCCCAGCCGATTAGAGCAACTGCTGGCGTGCGTCTTTGAAATGCTGACCTTACCGAGTGCGCCAGTTGATGTTGAATTAGTCCAGGCTGTGATTTGTTCAGTATGTCCATTATCCTTCTCTTACTCAACCTGACACGCGAACAGAGCATATGTGTGAGAACAAGCCGATTTTCTCTTACTTCGGCGCTGTGTTGGTCGTAATTTAAGATGTGTGTTCGGTTGCTCTCCAAGTCAGTTTGTTAACTGCGGACATTTCATTACAATACAAGGAAATATCCTCAATGCGGCTTTCAGATGTGTGCCATAAATGTGCTGGACCTACTTTTGTTTCCTGTGAAAGATCAACATTTGGCTTCTGTGTTCCTCATTCATCCCTTATGTTGGGTGAGTGTGTTGTATTGGCCTTCTTCTTCAAAGCCCTTATACGCGATACGGTCGGTCGATTTAAGATTAAGTTGACCTGGTTGTTAAAGTTAGATGCTATTTACTAACTGTGCACAAATATTCACCTCACGCATTATGAGCAACTTCGTCACAGCACATTTGACACCATTATACGCACCAGAGCACATCGACAGAAGTTGAAGTGACATTAATCCTTTTTACTAGCTTATCTTGCACTATAGTGAACACGGTCATTTTTCGGACAGATTTGTTGGCGTTCTTCACCAACGTACTCACTCGTGTTATCAGGAGCTTCACTAGTCCTGCCAAATATCTCATGAACACCTAGGTCTTAGATCCTATACTATCGAATATAAGCCGCATAAGGAACATCAGGTTTACGCATCTTTAGTAGGCCACATGCCTTTGTGCGCGAGTCGATTCTGGGTAAAGACCATACGATTTACTTCATAAATCTTCATCCAAGTCTTTCGAATAATTGCCGACGTGTCTTCTCCTTATTCGTTTTGTTATTATGATCGCTTCCTATATAATTTCATACGGACTTCTCCGAACCCTATTTCCTATTTCAAAAATCGTTTCACCTATTTTAACACTATTATTTTGCCTTTACCAATCCTTGTGATTTCAGCACTTATATATATATATATATATATATATATATATATATATGTATATATATATAAAACCGATATTGCTGTTGATGAGAAAAAGTGTGTCTATAGCGGCACAGATCAATTCGTACAGAAGAATCCATGCTCTTGCATGGGTGACATGCATAGGTGGTGTATTATGATATGCGTTTCATGTATTAGCATTTTGCCGTATGGTTGAGGCCAAGCCTGGTTATGAAAACATTAGTGTTTATATGTTTTTGGGCCCCATTTGGAATAGATCATTGTAAGTACTCATGATCTCCCTTCTTATCCGTGCCATTTATTCTTACTCACCAGTTTCTGAGCTTATATATCGGGATCTTTGCTCTTCATCTTTGTTGCACTAGTGCTGTAAGACGGCTAAGCAGTGTCATCTTTCTCAATCAACTCCGATCCGTATGTCATTCTGGATGGTTTTCGGGGAAACGGTTAACACAATAATTCAACCTGATTTACTATTCCAAAGTGTATGGGTCACGCAGGTCCCAAAATAGCTTTCTGTTTTTGAACTGTGTTCACCGCAAAATACAGCTATTACGGGAAACCCGCTGTGAGCAAACATGGAGACACAGAGCAAGACCAATGGAAATTATGCCTCCATATGCGTCAGTCTTACTACACAACTGAATGCTAAGATGAGTTTTCTTGCGTTGCAACTTTCTGAAGTAAAACAAACACCGGCTGGTCTGTAACTCTTTATGCACTACCTTGTTTCCTTAGATTCCATCGGAGAAGCTCGATGCAGTGTAATTAAAAAAATGTAAAACAACTCACTGTCTGCGTCGCATTGTTATCCCATGAACGAACGCATATGCCGAAAAACGCTATACTTCTCAATATTTCTGATGCAGTTAAGTTAGACAACGTCAAAGCAACATTGTTAAATGCTTGCAGTATGTCCGATACTGAGTGCAAATGTATACGCCTGAGTAAACAAGCATCGAATCTGTGTTGTCCGATTATTTTCATTTTTCCTGATGAACAATCTGAGGACAATTTCCTGCTGTGTCAGCTCGCCATAGATAAACATACTCAGTTCAAGGATGTGGTGATGAAGCGTTATCTAGGCCGCCTGCAAAGGTCTATTCTTGTCTCCGCACCACGAACGCTAAAAGCAGTGATATCATACAATCCGGAATCGGGAATAATGACACGAGAAGCGGACCGAAGCAATGGAGCCGCCTACTGCGTCTACTTAGGCGTTAACAACACGCATACTGAAGCGGCGACTTCGAGTGCTTTTGTCTCTTATCCCATCACAACACCGATGGCCAGAGGAGCTGTCACAAATGCTCTGACCAGTTAACTCACTGGAGCAATATCGAGATCACAGAGTGAGAAACTAACATTTGTAAGGGGCCCGATTGCCAGGACAAAGACTGGCTGTGTAAAACGAGGCACATCCCCAGGTGGGCAGCGAACTGCTGCAAACAAAATGCGGTTACGGGCCGATGAATCAATCAATAGAACGACCGATGTCTACATATGATCTCCAAATGTAAGACCATCAAACACATGCAATGCTTCTTCTGAGAAAAGCCATCGCCGCCGAACCGTTACTCATATCCTTAAACTGACTGAAACTAGATAAAATAAATAACTAAATGTGTATATTTACTGACAAACGGTACACGGCCCCATAAGCGGGAGCGATCATTTATCTCTTGGACGATTCTGTATATTTTCTTCCAGCATACATCCGAACTAGTCAGAAAAATGCTAGTTTCGGGAATATCTGACCAACACTGTCCTGTACCCCGTCCTATGCACACAAAGTCAATCACGAACGAACATTTTCGGGGCCAATAAGGGTGTTCTCACGGCCAATCCAAACTGGGTGGTCCTACTCTGTATTCAAGTTGTCCGTATGACAGCGATGGGCATATACCAGGTCGGTCACATGTTACACCCAATGGCTCAACTCATTTCTTACTCCAAGTTATTGCAGTGTTTACAAGGAGTAAATTTTCCCTACGTTCGAATCTACTAACTGTGGACAGGATAGCATCATCTTCATCATCATACACTCGCTCCAACATGCATCGACACTTTCCTCACAGGAAGAAAACGCATACGTCACGTAAAATATCCGTAAAGCATAAAAAATTGTCAACGGTGTATCGTAAAACACATGACTTCTTGGTACCGTACCAATAGTTATCCACAGCCCTACAACTGGCAAATCGCAGAAAACAGATCAATTACGAAAAACAAGCCCACTACAACTATTATAAAAAGTGCCGAATTACAAAAAGGAATCAAGATACACTCTCACTGGTTGCAACTGATAACCGCATAACAACTGACTCTGCAAACACCAGTGAGAATCTTTAGACAATATTTCTGGGCTTGCTTTAGCGTGGATAATGACCCTTCAGGATTGGACATACCACCAGCCGCCGTCGATCAACTCATCCATGTCATGTTTGAACTCCGTGGCACACACAAGCTTATAATATGCATAAAATTTTCCTATTTCAGCGGACGGGGTAATGTACCTGCTGCACTTATCAAACTCGGGGTGTCGACGTGCCCTAGCTGATATTGAATGTGTTCGTCATATCCATGAACTCTGGCACCTTACCAACACAGTGGAAGGAAGCCATTGTCATAGCGCGATATAAATCAGGTTCACTTTTCAAAGCAAAGGATTACCCACCAATAAGTCCTATTAAGAATGATGGAGTTGCATGTCAAAACCATAACTGTCGACTTCCAACCGTCACGAAAGTCAATCAATGACTCTCAGCACGGCTTCCTGAGTACTCGTTCATGCATTACCTGCCAACCTGCATTTCTACATTCTCTAACTGTCAAGGCACCGTCATGTCTGCAACCGTTACTTACCTCGACATGTACAATGCTTTCGATCAAGTGCCACATAGAAAACTAATATCCAGAATGATATCACATGGAATCGTGGAACCTCTGCTTTCATGGTCCAAATCGTAGCATGTAGTGTAGCATTAGAATTACACATCTGAACCAGCAGAACTTACAAGTGGTGTAGTTTAGTGCAGTTTTTTGGTCCCTTACTGTTCTTGGGGTATGTTAACTTGACGTGGCGTTTGTGACTCGCCACCAACTCAAGTCCTCCCTCGTTTATCCGAGCAACCGCTTCAAGTCCACAGACATCAAACATCGTTAGCACTGGAGACACTGTGGAACACGATCAAAGGAACAGGAAAGCATTTACAAATCCCATAAACACAGCTACACGCGTCTAAATACACACTAACACGCATTTATATATCAACATATGTGAAAATCCTGTTGTTCCATTGTAAATTAACTGGTCACATTTTGTACTCTTAACCTGATCATGCTTGCGCAGGCGTGCCTCGCTTAGTCGAGGCACGTTTTCTTTTATCTTTGACGCAGTGAAATTCGAAACGCCATACGTTTGTGTGGGCGATATCAAAATCGCCTTCACTTTTCACCTTGCTACCCTAGACCAACATGATCCAGCCGGACCTGCACGAGTTCTTAACCCGGTGCTCAATGTGGGGAATATTCCTTACAACAGTTAAGTGTTACGCGATGCGGCATAACATCTGGCGGTCTGACAATTTGTGATAAGCCAATT